CACAGCAGGCACATCTCACATACTCTCTGGCTTCACGGGCCTGATAGACCCTACTGGGCATCGAAGCTTTGGACAAAAATCAGTTATGTAATTAATTTTGAATTCTAAATGACAGAAGTATTTTAACACAGTACTTTGAGTAAGTGTTCCTAAACTTAGATTTGATGAATTACATGAATTCTGCTTGGTAATCTGTATTTTAAGCAGCTGTGTCTAGAACAGTCTGATTCTTTCGGATTGCACAGAGTGTGATGTCATTTACAAACAGACCAAATGGGAGCAGTGAGGAATGGTAAAGCCATACCTTGCCAGAGCATATCTGGAAAATAGTTCTGTAATCTTGAGTGTTAACAGGCTTCAGGGGAATTCGTCGATGTCTGCTTCTTTGTGGGATGCAGAAATTCAAAGTTGAGCTGTATAAACTGAGCAGCAACTTCTTGGATCTTTCATTTATCTTTTTCCTTTTATTACCTCCAAGGGTCATTTTTGGGAATTCAAAGGAATATGGTTGTTGCTTTGAACTCTAGCTACATTCCACATCTCTGACCATTTCTAACAATTCCTTCCTTAGATGTGGTGTGTGCACACCTATGATCCAGTGTGTTTGCCTACAAAGTACCCCAGACCTTGTGTGTGATTTAGCATTTCTCTCCATTTGTGAAAGACATTGGTGTTACTGGGGAAGAGGGGAGGACAGTGGGCTGTCAGAATTAACTGGAAGGGCATGAGCCACAGCTGATCCATGAAGAAGCAACAAGAAATAACAGAGCCGCTGAATACCCTTCAAAACTGGCAGAGAGGCAGTGAAACTAGAAAGGCTAAACCAAAAATCTAAAAGTGCTTAGAAACAGTAGAAAAGGCATGAAGGAAGCCTATAGATGAAAGCCGAAGTCAAAATAATGTCATGTTGACTGACTTAAAGCCATATTCAGATCCCCCCCCCCCAAAGAAAATCAGAAAGGCAAAAGTTTACCATATTGAAATATCCCTCGGGGTTTTATGATTAGTGTGTATTCATTAAACACCTCAGGAGAAACATGAAAAAGTGGGAAGGGGCAGAGACAAGTGCCGATCAAGCAGATTTAATGACCCCTGGGGTGGCCTGTCACAGTGTTGTTTCCAGATTCCCTGAGCTCTTTCATTCACTCTAGCATAGACTTGATCTCCTACGGGAAATCTGAGGCTTGTAAAGGTGAAATAGGTCATCTAAGATAAATACCTTATCCCTAGAGAAGTGAGCATTGGAGTCATTACTGACTTGCAATTTGCATACTACTTTCGTTGTCCTCAGCTGGACACCTTCGGTCGAATTCGCTCAGAGACCTGGGAAAATAATAGCATTTACCTATGTCACAGGCTGTGGCGCTGTGAACATCCCTGGGTATGCATCCTATGGGTGTATGCCCTAGGATGACACCAGGAAGTGAAGCTGCCTGGTGTGAGAATCCATAGTGCTCTGGTCGTCACCAGCGCTGACGGCCCTGATACTGTTCAGGTTTTATCAGTCTGGCAGGGCTATCCTGACTTGTCATTACAGAGTCGATAATATCACATCCTTCCTAAGTATAATCTGCACTGACGTTATATAAGCATTCCTTATTTCTCCATAAATGAGAAATTTTGGAATCACCCCAACCTTTCAGAATGATAAGAATCAATGGATGAAGTTGGATGTATTTTTTTCTGTGTTGTCTTATCCTGGGACATGTTCCCAGGGTTGGAATCAGTTGATAGAAGTGTACAGGGAAAAGAAACCTTTTATACGTGGGAGCTGTGGCTTGTGATGGGAAGAGACAGAAGAGTGTGGGAAAGGGGAAGTTTGCCTTCTTTGCTTCTGTCGGTCTGTAGGCTCTGCGTGGACAGAGGTGAAGGGTCAGACAGAGGCCAGGGTCCAGATCCAGGGGCTCCTGTTTTCAGGAGATGAAGTACAGCGTTGGCATGAACCCTCCTCCATTAGGAGACGTGCTGTGGCTGCAGCATAAATCCTTGAGCTCTCACAGGGAGGAGTGAATGATGGCGCATGAAGATAGCATTGGGTTTAGTTTTGTCTCCCATGGGCGTTGCTGAGCCCTTATTTTCCTAAGTGATTTACATGTATCATTCCATCTTCACCAGCAGCCTGAGAAGGGAGGGTTGTCACCTTCAGCTTACAAGTACCTGGACCAAAGCTTTATAGTTACTAAATAGCAACAGCAAGACTGTGATCCTGACTGTTTATTTCCAGTAGCCAACTCCGCCTCCTGGAAAGATCAGTCTATACAGATGCTTAAATTATATAAGGAACAGATACTGTTCAGGGAATTCAGGGAAGTCAGAGATGAGCAAGGGTGGAGGTGGACAGGGCTCCACAGGCTTAGGCCATTCAAAACATCTTTTCACATTTCTTTAGTGGTTTTATTTCCTGCCATCCTTATTTTACAACACGAGATCACAAAGCACAAAGTGAGATCCCTGGCTCTGTGTTCCTGGCACACAGTTAATGTGTCCTTCAGATTCCGTTTAGGATTTATAAAAAGGCTTCTCCTAGGTAGAGAATGTAGTTAGGCAGCTAGTACCTGAGAGCTGCTTTCTAAACTGTGGCTGTGTGGGAAGCCAGCATCAGGGCCACCGATACACACTTAACTGAATGGAACATTCTGTGCCTGGTGCAAAGAAAAGCATTTTTAATATGTTTTTGTAACATTGTCATGAACTTCTAGGAAAGTACAACAGGAGATAGCCAAGAGCCAGACACTATAACCAGACAGCTGAACTCTGTGCTTCTAAATGTCAGGGTTAAGAAGTAAGAGGTAGGAGTACTCACTTTGTAATGTGTGTGTGTGTGTGTGTGTGTGTGTGTGTGTGTGTGTGTGTGTGTATGTGATATAAAACAAAAGTTCAGACCAAGGTCAGAGCCCCAAAGCAGTGATGTACCAAGAGATTATGGAATTGTCTCTTCAGCCTTGTAATGTGAAATCTTACTAAAATACATGATTTGTAAGGTCCTTGAATCAAATCTATGAAGTTTAATATATGTTTACATCCAAATCAGGTCTTTCAATTGTTAATATGGCTAAAACTGTATAGGGTTTTACATGAAGAGGGCAATAAATGAAGAGCATGTACATGTAGACACCAACTCCAGAAAAGCCCCCGTATATCAAAGGCTCCTCCTTGCTATGTTGTTCTCCTTCCCCACATGTGGAGTTTTTCCAGGGCCAGAGGGACATCAGGTTCAGATGCAGCTGTAAGGAATGATATTAAAAAGATCACAGGTACCCTTGACCTACCTTGCCCCCCCCCCATATAATATCTTGTAAAACTTTAGTATGAATAAAACACCATGTAACATTCAGTGTAATCCTCCATTCGGTGTAATCCTCTATTTATTCAGGTTTTCCTCATTTTACTTGCACAGTAATACTCTCCTTACAATGGAATTGTATCCTCCTCAACCTAATGGCAAGTAGAAAATATGTGAAGTCAGAACTGTGCTTACTCTCAAACATTGCAGTGTATTGTAAGCTGTGGTTATGATATGATGGTGCGGCTGGCATGGGAGGGTGGCTCTCTGCCTCTGCCCAGCATAGCAAGAGAGTGCTGAGCTGCAGACTGCTAGCCCAGGAAAAGATTAGAGACCCAAGGCACCCAGCATCCCACAAGATGGCTCAGTGGATAAACGCACTTGCTGCCAAGTGTGGCGACCCGTGTTTGATCCCCAGAATCCACATGCCCTCCACACACACATTTACGGCATGCTTCCGCCACACAGAGTGAATAAATGGGTATTTCTACTGAGTGCACCTTGCTTTCGTGTCTTCGTAGTGGAAAAGGCTTAAGTTGAGCCATCGTAAACTGACACCATCTGCACACATCACTACGTGTGCAACTTAGGTCTCAGTTGTTTAATTACCTGCATCATTCTATGCCCCACACTCCTAAGATTCAGGATGGTTCCATCACTACGGGAGCCATGGTGTGGCTCTTCAGTAACTATGCCCATCACCCGCCCACAACCATCCTCTCAGGTCTCAGCCACTGGCAACTGCTCATCATCATACCCATAATTTTACCACTTCAAAGATGCTGCATAAAAGAACCCATGGTGTACAGAACCTTTGGGGATTGGCATTTTTTTTCACGGCACATTTTCTTAGAGACTCATCCACACTGTTGTACAGGAGTAATTTGCTCTCTCCTGTGTTGTTGCATGTATGTGTTCCATGACATGGCTGTTTTATTCACCTGTTCGGACACCTGGGCTTGCTTCTGGTTTTTGTTATCAACAAACCTGCCGTGAACATTTGTGGATCGATATCTGTATAAGCATGTTTTATTTCTCTGGGAGAAATGCCCAGGAGTGCAATTTCTGGGTCAGATGGTTTTGCATATTTTAGTTTAATAAAACCTGTCAAACTGCTGGGGCTGGTAGTATAAACCTGTAAGGAATCCTACTAATGATTCTGAGGAAAGGAGGCTTGTAAGTGGAGGATCATAAGTTCAAGGTCAGCCTGGGCAATTTGCTTGTCTCAAAAACCAGTTTAGAAAGAGGGCTAGACACATACCTCAATGGTAGAACAGTTTCCTAGCAAGTGTGAGACCCTTGGTTTAACCTTCAGTACCACAAACAACAGGCAAGCAAGCAAAACAACTGGCAGGCTGCTATTCAAAGAGGCTGTGTTGCCTTCCATTTCTATCAGTGATGTTTGAATTACCTGGTTTCTCCACATCTGTGCCAACATTTCCTGTTAATGGTTCTTATTTTAGCCATCTGGTCAGTGTGTGGTGACATCTCCTTGTGGTTTTCATTTGCATTGTCCTTAGAGCTGATGATGTCAAACTTAATGTCATGTGATCATATTCTATTCATGTAGCCTCTTCAGTGAAATGTCTTTTGTATCTCTTACCTATCTTAATCATATTGTTAATTTTTTATGGTGTAGTTTTGATAATTCTCTTTTAATTACCAACTCTTCTTAAATCCAACTTTATTGTTCATACCATCATTTTGAGATGTCCTGCATACCATTCTTACATGTATCAAAATGCATAATGAACACTGAGTTTTGGGTTGCAAAAGTATTTATTTTTGTACCTGTATTTTATGTATTTGCCTACCAGTTACATACACACACACACACACACACACACACGCACACATACAGACACACACACACACACACACGCACACACACACACACACACGCACACATACAGACACACACATACATATATACACACACACAAATATGCACACACTACTGCTTTGGAGAATTCTCTGTCTTTTAACTCTTTTAGATATTTATTTTATTTTATATTTTGGAGTGTTTTGCCTGCATGTTTGAATGTACCTCAGAAGGTATCAGATCCCCTGGAACAGATGGTTGTGAGCCACCAGGTGGGTGCCGGGACTTAAACTCAGGTTCTCTGGAAGAGCAAAAAATTCTCTTAGCCACTGAGCCATCTCCAGCCCCTATTTAAAACAAACAAACAAACAAACAAAACAAAACTCACTTCTCTTTTGTTTTGTTTTGTTTTGTTTTGTTTTTGAGACAGGTTCTCACTCATAGAGATCCTCCTGTCTCTGCCTTCCAAGTGCTGGGATCAAAGACGTGCATCACCGTGCCCAGCTCTCTGGGGAATTCTTAATCCATTCTAGATACTGATTCTTGTTAGACACATGGTTGTGCTAATATTTTCTCCATTTTCTCATCTTAAGAAGGTCTTTCACAAAAGCAATAGTTTTAAACTTTGATGAGGTAAAATACATTTCTGTTCTTGTTAACATGGCCTCAGGTCTACAACAGAGGCAAAAGTTGGAGCGGAGCTCCGGAGCCTCTGAAGGCTGCCTGTAGAGCCTTCTTTGATAGTCATGTCTCTTGGGAATCTGTAACATGAAATCATTGAATTTGCTTTAAAAGGCACCGGGAATATTGGAAGGCGAGTCTCCCAGCCTGCTGAGTCAGTTTGAGTCTTCCCACTTTGTGGAGTGTTTCCCTTTGTTTAACAAGATATTGCCAAGTGGAAGTTTTGGGCTTCTGTGCCAGATCCTTGCTGATTATAAATAAATGAGGGAAATTGTTTCCTTATAGTCATATGGATTATGCTATATCAGAAAATAACTGTAAGGCTTGGTCATTTGCAGTTGGCAATAAACTAAGCAGTTAAAATTGGAGCTTCCTGCCTGCAATAGGCCAGGCAGTTTTTGAGCCCTGTCTTAGTTAGGGTTTCTATTGCTGTGAAGAGACACCATGCACAGCAGCCCTTACAAAAGAAAGCATTTAATTGGCACTGGCTTTCAGTTTCAGAGGCTTAATCCATTATCATCATGGTGGGAAGTATGTTGCCATGCAGGCAGACATGGTACTGGAGAAAGAGCTGAGAGTTCTACATCTTGATCCACAGGCAGGAGAGGGACTGTGAGCCACTCTGGGTATAGCTTGAGTATATGAGACCTCAAAGCCTGCCCTCACCAGGGACACACTTCCTCCAACAAGGCCACACCTACTCTAACAAGGCCACACTTCCTAATAGTGCCACTCCCTATGGGCTATTTTCTTTGAAACCACCACAGTCCCCAATCTAAATTTGATTATACTTTGAGCTATTTGAGTACATTTTAAGATATGAATTATTCTTTCTTTTGCTCTCTCTCTCTCTAAACTTTAATATAGAAAAGCTCTGATTTTAGTTTTATAAGTCTTTTCCTCAAAGGGAATACTTTCTGTATAATTTAATTAAAATGGGAGATTAAAGGGAAGAGCCTTTTCCTCCCTAAAAGGCATGGTTTTCCTCTAACAAATCAGACTTTGGGTTCCGAAAGACTGGGACACCCTGTAAAATAGAAGTCATGAGGGGACTGTGTCCTCCCTTGAACCTACTTCTGTGTCCTCAACATGAAAACCTTGGCAACTGTAGTGAGGTGTATTTTGGGGGGGCAATTCTCAGATTAGACAGAATGCCCCTTAATTTAATCTTCCTATTTTATATTCCAAAGATTAATAACAGCCTGTCTCAACAAAAGTGCTCGATAAAATAATTGGAAATTCAAAAACTTCAGTAACTACATGGTATCTCAAAATTAACAACACTCACTGTTCAGGAAATTTTTCTCTCTCCATTCCTCTGAGGGCAAATACTATCTACTGTCTTATGCTGTACCTTGGGTATTTCTTAACACTCCACCATCTATAAAATAAGTAGATACTGAAGAAATGTTTAATTCATCCATCTGTCAACCATCCATCTGTCATCTATACATCTGTAATCTATCCATCCATTCATCTGTCATCTATACATCTGTAATCTATCCATCCATTCATCCGTCATTCATCCAGCATCATCTATTCATCTGTCATCCATCCATCCATCCATCCATCCATCCATCCATCCATCCATCCCATAAGCATGTCTTGAAGACTATGTTAAGAACTGGCAGGAATAGACACACTTATCTAGAAGAAGGCATAGCCCTTTCCTTCTGGTAAACTAGAACTTGAAGAAGGGAATAGAAATCCTCTCCGGAAATATTTGACAATAGAGGACACTGTGGCTCTCCCTTGTTCTGGGGGTTTTTGGCCACTACTCCCCAGGGACAAGGGCGCAGAAGCAATGAACTGGGGATTCGGTGGCCCATGAGCACAAGTGGAAATGATGAGTTCCAGGGAGGCAGGTCAATGTTATACCGGTGAACAAGGGTTATATAGAACTTTGGAGAGGGGGTAGAGATTTCTAGGGTGGGTAACAATTATTGGCTGCAGGGCTAAGGTACTGACGTGCCTCATTTACATGGACAGGCATTCCAGGAATCCCAGGTGCTTGCTGAACGGGTTCTTATCAGGGTAAAGGGAGTTGGATCTTTGGAGCTGTAATTTCCCTAAGGTAGAGGCTGTGAAGATTCTGGTTCCCTAAGCAAAGAAGAGGAAGCCTTGCTGACAAGGGGAGTCCTCCATTTTGCACCTGAGGGCTTTCCGGGCATGGTAGATGGACTGCAGCCTTAGCAACAGGATTTCCCTATAAAACCCTGTAACTGTCACAATTAAAGTCTCAGTACAGACAAAAATCAAACCATCCACAGGGGCCACCTGGCGTAGACTGACCCAGGAAAGCTCCAACAGTGTTAATGGCCTATGAATACTCAGTGCCCCTTCTAGAGTTCTTTGTTAATGTGGGCCCCATCTATACTGTCTACAGTTCATGCTTTCTCTTGAAAGGATGCCTTTCTTATCTTATTTCTGCCCATACTCAACACTGAGTATTATATTGTTCATGATTCTTGAGGTTACATGAGTCAGAAATGTAAGCAAATGCCCTTAGCAAAGAGAGGAACACACAGCTCCATAATTCTGAAAAGAAGGGTTAGGCATGGCTAGGGTGCTGACTCCATGGCCAAGATGGCAGCTGGCAGCCTCTTACCTCTGTCTTAACAGACAGCTTCTGGCTCACTTTGACCAGCTGGATGTGATGGTAGTGTTTTCACCAGCTCCAAATGAGGCCTTGGGAGATTTGGCAGTTTTGATTTTAATCTTTGGGAAAGCAGCCACCATGTAAAGGAATCTAACTGCCCTCATGCAGAGAGGAGGTTGGTGGCAGAGAATATTAAATATTAAAGCATTTAATTTAAAAATATATGAACATAAAAAATGAGGTAGAGGTTTGCCAAACCTCCCCCCAACATACACACGCCACACACCTTCTTATGTAGATGGAGCTAACTTGGACACTCTAGTCTCAGCAATGCCAAATGGAAGAAAGGAAATCCACCTCCTCAGGAGGGCTGTCAAAACCTCTGTATGAACCAGTTTATCATTGTAAGCCGATCCTTTCACCATGGTTTGTCCCATAACAGCAGGTGATAGAAAAGGCAGGCTCCATTGCTCTAACAATTCCTGAAGGAGCCTTTCTGTACGCCGTGGCTTTCCCTACCCAGGGAGGCTGTCTGTGTAGTGAGTATATTCATCATGGCAGCAGGCTTATATTTGCCCAATTCTCACCAACAGTGCATTTCTTCCCCAGAAGGGACAGCCTGTCTCAGGAGCGACTCTCAATGGATGTGACTAAGTCACGTGACCCTACAGAGCCTGTCTTCCCTAAACCATTTCTTTCCTTAGGCACTGGCATTGGCTCCAAAGGAAGGGATGATCTATTTTCTCTTTGGGTCCTCTCTCCAAAGGAGAGCCAGATGGTGAGGAGATCACTTGTGTTCTTTCTCTTCTGGAACTTTGCTCTTGTGCTACTTAATGTGTGTGTGTGTGTGTGTGTGTGTGTGTGTGTGTGTGTGTGTGTGTGTTTTATTTTGTATGAGAGCCCAGCAGAACAGCTCTTGGGCAAATGGCTTATGAAATAAATCTAAATGTTCTCAAGTAAATAAATAAACAAGTAGCATGTTCTGTCAATTGAGAAGTGAAAGAGCCTGGTAGCTTTATTTCTTCTTTCTCATTAAGGGTCAGCATTCCAGGATGGACCTCTACGGAACACCAAGCTGGATAGAGAAGTAAAAATTAGATGCCTGCTGGAGCACAGGTCAAGATGCCACTGTGTCTTGTCAGAGCTCTCACAGCACACTGGCCTCTCTAGGTGTACACACACACACACACCTACACATACATACACACATACACACCTAAACACCTACACATACACACACACCCTTACACACCTACACACACACACACACACACACACACACACACACACATACCCTTACACACCTACACATACACACACACATCTACATGCCTACACAATGTACATCTTAAGTAGTTCTAAGTAGCTGGGGGCAAGTATCACATGGGGTTGAGGAGAAACCCCACAGGTGACCCATTAGATTTTTAGAAGGATCTTTGAAAGTTTATGTTGGCATAATGACTTGACAGTAACAGACTCTCAAGCTTTACTATCTGCCAAAGTATTTCCAGGGCTTATTTGAGAAGGTGCAGTAGTGACTTGATTTCCGAGCTGAGGCATTTATTGCTCTGACTAGCCACTGTAGATGAAGCTGGCTGCAGACTCGCAGAGATCCACCTGCCTGTCTCCTAAGTGCTGCTATACCATCGTGCCTGGCTATTGCCTTTAAATTTTTAATCTTGAAAGACTGTGTGTGTGAAAGTTAGGTTTACATTGCTTGTATGCTCCTCAGTAATTTTC